GGTTGCAGAGATTATATATGTCAAGAAAAACAGCTGTAGATATGAGATGGCACAAAGAAAAGCGAGTAGATGATGGGATATTGAGACACCCGGCTGATGGTGAGGCGTGGAAGGATTTTGATAGGCAACATCCTATGTTTTCCCAAGAGGCTCGAAATGTGAGGCTAGGGTTGGCTACTGATGGTTTTAATCCTTTTGGGAACATGAGTAACTCGTACAGTATGTGGCCTGTGATTGTTGTGCCTTACAACTTGCCTCCTTGGAAATGTATGAAACAATCATTTAGTATGTTGTCATTGCTTATCCCTGGACCACAAGCACCAGGGAGAGATATCGATGTTTACATGCAACCATTAGTTGATGAGCTGAAAGAGTTGTGGGAAGATGGTGTGCTTACATATGATGCCTCAACTGAATTAACTTTTCGAATGAATGTAGCTGTTATGTAGACAATTAATGACTTTCCTGCATATGGAAACTTGTCTGGATGGAGCACGAAAGGTTATTTGGCTTGTTCTACATGTAACAAGAATGCATCCTCACAACGATTGAGAGGTAAGATAGGGTACACAGGCGCTCGTCGTTACTTGCCTGATGACCACCCTTGGCGTAGGAGTCGACTTTATAACGGTAAGATTGAGTTTGTGTCAAGACCTTTGGAGTTATTAGGGGAACAAATCTTAGAACAATTGGACTCAGGGACATACAGACCATTTGGAAAGCATCCAACCAATAAGAAAAGAAAAAGGGGAAATTCGGTGTTGAATTGGACTAAAAAAAGCATATTCTTTGAGTTGCCATATTGGAAAACAATTAAACTCCGACACAATCTCGATGTTATGCACATAGAGAAGAATATATGTGATAGTTTGCTTGGAACATTATTGAGTATAGATGGAAAGAACAAAGACACAGAAAAAGCGCGCATGGATTTGGAAGATATGAAAATAAGGAAGGAGTTGCACCTGAAGAAGCGTGTCGATGGATCATTTGAAAAGCCCCCAGCATTGTACACTTTGTCCTCGGATGAAAGACATGGTTTCTGTGAGTTTTTGAAGTCAATTAAGTATCCTGATGGTTATGCGGCAAACATCTCAAAGTGTGTAAGCACAAAAGGTGATAAGTTAACAGGCCTAAAAAGTCATGATTGTCATATCCTTCTACAATGACTTCTTCCCATTGGAATGCGTGGATATCTTCACAATGATATATGTGTCACATTATTTGAGTTGGGAAATTTCTTTCAACAGCTTTGCTCGAAGACATTGAAGGTGAAGGATTTGGAAAAATTAGAGGATCGCATAGTACTCATATTATGCAAGCTGGAGAAAATTTTCCCACCGGCGTTCTTTGATGTGATGGTCCATTTAGCCATTCATTTGCCCCATGAAGCCATTCTTGGTGGGCCTGTGCAATATCGGTGGATGTACCCCATTGAAAGGTACTTACTAGCTTCTTAATATATTAGAATAGTTAAATTGTAGCACAAACTGTATATATATTTATGAAAATGCGAGTATGTGTAATAAAAGTATTCTATTGTTTGTTTCATAGGCTACTTGGAACTCTAAAAGGGTATGTTGCAAATCGAGCTCGTCCAGAAGGTTCGATCGCAGAAGCTTATATTGTCAAGGAGTGCCTCACATTTTGCTCAATGTATCTGGGTGGGGTCGAAACTGTATTTAATCGAGAGGAACGAAATGTCGATGTTCGTGTGCATGAGTCTGGGTTAGAGGTCTTCACGCAAGATGTTCGTCCTTTTGGGCTAATGACAAGGGCTTCTGATGTGTCTCCAAAAGAACGTGAAATGGCTCATTGGTTTGTCTTGAATAATAGCCTTGAGTTGGACCCATTATTTTGAGTTCTTTTTTTTTTTTTTGGGTGCAATTATGTTTTCAATATAATATGTTACTTATCAATCATATGTTTGTAAATAGGCAACACAAAAACCTTTTAGAAAATCAAGGTGCATGTGACATCACGAAGAGACAGAAAGAGGAATTTCCCAAGTGGTTCAAAGAACATGTAAGATATAAGCCTAAACTTTATTGAGTTATACTTACATTAACACTAACATAATGATTGAAATTGATATGTCATTATGTAGATGAACCATTTACGAGCTCAAGGATTACCAGAAGCAACTGATGAATTGTGGTCATTAGCAAATGGTCCTAGTAGCATAGTTAATTTGTATTCAGCTTGCATTTCCAATGGTGTTCGATTTCATAGTAAGGATCGTGACAATCGTCGTAAAAGCCAAAATAGTGGGTTGGTTGTGGAAGGGGAGCATGAGGGACAAACAATTGACTTTTATGGGTACTTGAACAGAGTGTGGGAGATGCATTATATACTTGGACATCGAGTTGTTTTATTCCAATGCGAATGGTTCAACACCGGTAGCAACAGAACATTACACACTGATGCACATTTCACAAGTATTGATGTCAAAGGTCGATGGTATAAAGATGATCCATTTGTCTTACCAAGTCATGTGAAGCAAGTTTTCTACGTTGATGATACAAAGTTAGGTGGACATTGGAAAGTCGTAGAAAGGCTACAACATCGAGGAATGTGGGATGTACCAGAACAGGATGACGTTGAACCTGATAATGTATTCCAACAAAATGAAACAACTGATGTTGTCCCAATTAGCGTTGCAGACCCTGTCACAATCTTACTTCATAGGAATGACATTGATCCTCAGATTATCCCAAGTGAGGTGGTTTTAGAATCAGTTAGTCGAGCACATGACGATGGTGTTGATGATGAAGAGACATGCGATAACGAAGATCATTACTAAGAGCATTGTCACTATCCGAGAAGATGAGCTATATAGCCATTATGATTGTAATATAGATTTTGACATGGAACTTTAAATTTTTATGTTTTGTATGACACTGTTGTTTAGGTGCCGTTCTTGTCTGAGTTTGAGCACAATGATTATCCAAGAATATGTTTCAATGTATCTATGTTTGTGTGTGTCCCTTTCTCTTTCTCTTTCTCCATTTTTCTTTGTTTCTTATGCCATGTTATTGTTTAGTTATCACTTATGTGCTGATATTGGTTCTATTATACATCCATTGATGTTAATGTAAATGCTTATTTTACATATGCTTCACACATGTAATTGTTGAGTTGTTGTGGTAGATGGCAGGCCCTGGTAAAGTTAGAAGCGCAGCATCATCTAAAGTTGGTTTACCTACTCAGCAAGCTCCAGCTAGAGTTGCTGCCCCTATTGAACATGCACCAGCAAACTTAACTCCATCTGCTCAAAGTGTACCATCTACAAATGCTCGACGTATCCAGGCTGCACCATCTACAAATGCAACTACTACTCAGGTTGTACCATCTACAAATGCAACTACTACACAGGCTGCACCATCTACAAATGAAGGTACTACCCAGGCTGCACCATCTACACTTACTTTGCGTACCCGTTCTACACAGGGAAGGGGTCAGACTCGAGGGAAGAGCATAGCGCATCTCATAGCTAAAAATGGTGGCAAAAAACTTCCTGTTTGGGTCCCTGCAGATGCAAGGTACCAGTAGGGCCTTATGCCACTCCATTTGCAAATGAAGTTGGGTTGCAAATAAGGATGGCTGCACCTATAATTGGCATAAGTAAGTGGGATAAGATTGACGAGATTCATAAAGCCCCAATCATTCAGGCAGTTCGGGTACTTGTATTTGTTGTTTTTAAAATAGTTAGATTATCACCTTCACTTACATTTTAATATTAATAAAACTATTCATATATTTGCAGGATAAATTTGAGATTGTTGATTATGATGAGGATAAAGAGGTTCGGAAAGCAATCGACAAGAAGTGTAAAACCCTTTACAAAAGTTGGCGTAACAAGATGAAGACGCATTACTCAAAGTTGGTAGAAGCTGGTGTTGACCCTTACACTAAGCCATACAAAGGGGTTGACCATGAGGCTTGGGTATACATGATTAATCATGTATGGCTTAATAGCGATCATCAGGTAAAATTTCATAACTTAAAGAAGCGTGTTTCAATTTCAATTTAATTTTACTAATCATTTACTTTTGTAGGAATTGGCTGAAAAAGGGAGGAATAGTCGATCGAAATTACCATATAATCATACAATGGGCTCTAAGTCATTTCAAGCTGCAATGTATAAAGAGGTGATACATTTAATATATTTGAAAGTGTGATTGAGTTAAAATTAATTATGTATACTTACTTTTAAATTGATGGAATTAGGGTACTGCGAAGGTTGACATTGTAGACTTCTACAAAGATTCCCATTGGAGCAAGAGAAATGCAGATTGGATAGCTCCAATATGTGGTGAATTACATGTAAGTATGCCAATTAATATAATTACATATTTATGTAATTGGTTATATTTGTTAAAGTTGTTTAAAAATTGATAGGAAGCTTTGAAAAAACGACGTGAAGAGTCTTTGAAGCCTGGGGCAATACCTTTAACTCAGGAGCAGCTGTCAATTGAAGTTCTTGGAACGAGTAAATCAGGATACATAAAGGGCTTCGGAGTTGGTCGAAACCCATCCTCATCCAAATCTTCTGTTAGTACACAAGCACATGTTGAGGTGGTTTCGAGCCTACAAGAACAAATAGAGTCATTGAAGAATTTGGCTGAGGTCCAGCAAGAACAAATTGCAGCCCAGAACTTGGTAACACAAGAGCAAGCTAGAAAGATTGAAATGCAAAACAAAAGGTTTGAAGAGATTGAAAAGTTTATGAGGATGCACAAGGATAAGGCAGACATGCAGGTTTATGAAGAGGATTGTTCATCGGAGGAATTTTATTGACAGCTTGCTCTGTAAGTATACTTTTCAGAATTTAATTTTCAGATCACTAAAAACACTTCACTTAATATATTTGTTAAAACAAGCTGCTGCCATGATGCTCTTCAGTTGGCTAGTTTGCTTTATTTGTTGATGTATTGTTCTTCTTGATTGTTATTGGTTGATCGCTCTTCTTGATTGTTGCTGGTTGATTAAGTTAGAGTAATATAAATTGAAAATAAGTTGCAAGAATAGGCTAAAATGGTTGGTTGAGATGCAAGAAAAAGTTGAATGATCACCATAAATAAAAATGTTAGCGAGAGGGGAATGCATAAATTGACAAATACGAGATATAATAGTTAAAAAAATATACGAATTTATTTTATTTAATTGAGCAATAGCAAAATGGTGAAAAAAAACAAATTCAAATAGCCAACTAGGACAAGCCTAGTTTGGTTTTAGTGCGACACAAGGTTTACTTTAGTTTGGTATAAATATGCATCACAATTTAACTGTATTATGCAACATACAATGCACTATCACATATATGTAACACCATTGACACACACAAGTAGGACAAGTACATAGTGTGGATTTAAATTTTATATCCTCATTATATAGTTAAAATCACACGCTATCCTGTACTGTTATAGAAAAACATAAATTCTCCTATCTCTAGTAAACTTTGTGTACTAGAGTAGCTACAAATTATATTTATTTCTATCTCTTCTAAAATTTTATTTTAATGGAACTTACAAAAGTTCATAACACTTGTGAGATAATTAGAATTTATCCAAATTCTAAGAAACAACATTATGCAACATAATGTCTCTGGACTATAACTTTTCATGTCGAGTGTGAATAAATGGTTAATGATACCTAATCACTCAAGTATATAAACTTCACTTGGTGTGTATCTATTCAAAGAATGCTAGTATTACATCTGTGCATGCTTTTCTTTATTTTTATTTATATAAAAAACTAGTGCTTGCGATATGTAAATGACAAAATACACCATATGAAAAATGTGGCAGGTTGAAACTTGGTACAGACCACTCACAGGTCACCAAAAACTAAAATATCTATTAATGCAAGGACAACAGTCCCTGTGAAAAACAAACTTTGCCAATCCAAAATCTGCAACCTGTAAAAAACATTGGATCAATTTAGCAAATCCAAAGAACTGTTTTTGTTCATCTTAGGTAGTAAAACAAATAAAATCTTAATTTTTCATTCTTTTCCTTGTTCTATGCTAGCAGATGCATTGGGATAAAGGATTAAATGAGATAATTATAATGAAAAAATAGAAACTTTTATGCACATTAGTTCCAGGTGTTCCTGTTTATGTAGAACAAATTCAAGAATAAGTAAACTAATCTCTACGATGTAAGCAACATATATACTAAAATGAGTTGTGATGAATACCTTTGCTCTGAGGGTTTCATTGAGTAAGATGTTACATGTCTTTATGTCACAGTGTACGTGCCGTGCTTTAGTGTGATCGTGAATATATTCAATACCCTTCGCAGCATCTAGCGCGATCTGTGTTCTTGCAGTCCAGGAAAGTGGCTGATGGCCTGTTTCAATAATTTGATGAGAATGAATTGACTATTTGTTTCTCGATTTCAGTTCAATTCTACATAGGCGTTTAGCAATTGGACTAATTGATACAATGTGAAAATTTAAGCCAAGTATAGAGAGTAATGGATGGAGTATCATAATGAATTGGGTCAGATTTCGGATTAAGCCAAGTAAACCAAATTCAGATTCGGATTATGCTAAAACCAGTCTAAATTCAATCAGTTGAGAGGCCTATGCTAAATAAATACCTTTGAGTAATGGATCATGAAGGTGATCACTGACAGATCCATTTTGAATGTACTCATAAACCAAGTAGAGGTGGTCATCTCCACTGGCATACCCCAACAACTCCACCTATAAATACATATAGGCTTGATTGGTAAAAAATGTTTGAACTTTGTTAAATCACATTAAATTTCATTTTGCAGGTATGAAAATGTTACTTACCACATTAATGTGATGTATCTTGCACAAGACCTTGAGCTCTGCAAAGAACTCCTTGGACTTGTTAGATCTCATCTTCTTAATCTGCAAAGAACTCCTTAGACTTGTTAGATCTCATCTTCTTAATCTGCAAAGAACTCCTTGGATGATTTAATTCCATATAGGTATGGCTACTATCTCTCTATTGGCCATGATGGCTATTGTAGGTTTAATGCCAGTGGGTTTGTATGGTGGGATGTGTGGGTTTAGAAAGGCACTAGAGAAAAGAAAATGAGAGTTTAGGAAGGAGACTAGTAGAGTTTAGGAAGGAACTAGAGTTTAGGAATGAGAGTTTCAAAGAAATGATGATTTATTATCCCTACGTTTTTTAGATTGCTGCTATATTTTGTTTTAATCTAGGGACCAAAGATGTGTTTTAATTTCATTATCCCAATGTTAAACTCTTATTATGTTTCCTAAGAACACTATAATTCTATACTAGAAATGTCACACATCTCATAATTTGCTTTTGCAATATCAGACAACTAATTATCACAATATATCATTGGCAGTAAAGTATGATTTATGGGCATAATGCTAGCAAACTATTCATATTCATTCTAGTTTTTATTTGAGAAACTTTTTGACCTTAATGTAAGTAAAAGCAACCTCAAGTTTAAGATTTAGGTCCTTCTGATTTCAATTTAGTCATGAAAGTAAACTTAGCACTTTGGATTACATCTTATTCCAGTGATAGCTCCTACTCAATTGATATTTGCTTTTGTTTTGGAACCTTGAAATTGGATTTCATCAGTATTCCATAATGACATAATTTGAGCTAGGTTTTGGTTGGACAATATGTGACTGATTTACAAATTTATGGAGATATTGCTTGTAATTAGTTCATATATGCCAAGTTTAACTGGTGAATCATGTGTTACTTTTTGATTTTGGTATATTGAAATTTTGTAATTCATCGTAGGAAAATTTGCTCTCAATTTGTTTATCTATAATGTGAAACCAATGTTTTTAGACCAAGACCTTTATTATTAACATTTTAACATTATAAATTTTGACAGATTGGCAATGGATGGAATATAGTTCAGGGAGCATCAAAGGATTACATTTTGAATTTTTGGATATATTTTGTCATAGGTTTTTGTTATGAATTTGCAAGCTTGGAAGGTTTTTTGGAATTACATGTTTGAAGTTTTTTTCATATGTTTGACCAATTGGCAATGGATGAAATATAGTTCGGGGAGCATCAAATGATTACATTTTGAATTTTTGGATATATTTTGTCATAGGTTTTTGTTATGAATTTGCAAGCTTAGAAGGTTTTTGGGCATTACATGTTTGAAGTTTGGGATTGTAAGAGATTTGTATTTAAATTGGATGTTTTGGATTTGATATGTTGTTTATATTTAATATGGTACTACTTTTGAATTAAGTTTATATTTTGGATATTTTGCACAAGTGTGTTAATTTGAATTATATTTTGCTTATGTTTATAGGTTTATGAATTATGTATTGAGCAGGGAAATTGCTAAAAAAAATTATAAATAATGAATTTTTTGTGACAGGTTTTTTTAGTTGTAAATTTACTTTTGGTGACATTTTATTTATGTTGCTGAAAGTATGTGTCCATAATTTTTTTAGTGACCCAAAACTTGATTGATCGCCAAAAGTTTTAACATTCAACAACCAATTCTTTTAGTCACTGAAAGATATTTTTAGCGACGCATTTATATGTCGCTGAAACTTAACATGCCATCAACTGAAGGCTACTTTTAGTGACTAAATGTTAATTTATGGCGACGGAATTTTAGTCTTTTGGCGACGGAAATATTTGGTTGCCAATTTATTTATAAAGGCAACCAAAATTGATTTGGTCGCCGAAGCATTTAGTGACAGGGCTTCAGCGACCAATTTTGTTCATGTTGCGGATACTTTCAGCAACCAAAATTACACTTTTGGTGACTAAAAAAAAGGTCGCTAAAAGTGTTTTTTTTTTTGTAGTGTCCTCAAAGACGTTCGGTTCATAGAATTATACAGCATTTAAGGATAACAGAGTATTTAACAATTCCTCCAAATTTGAGTTCCACTACAAGAAATTTAGCCTATTGTGACAAAATTTGGTGGCGACATTTTTTTTGTCTTAAAATTTAACCCAAAGATGACGAAATATTAATTTTGTCGTTTGTTTTAATTTTTCTCAAAAGTGTAGGAGACGAAAACAAAATTTCCTCTGCAAAAATGAGGCGCCAATTTCATTTGCATTGGCGCGAATTATTTTATCTCATTGGAGACAAACATTTTTGTCACAAAATTTTTTTTTTTTTGTGACGAACGTAATTCGTCGCCAATAAATTCCATACCTATTAAACGATGTCGTTGCATATTTCCATTTATTAGGCGACAAATATATTTTTTTCTGGGAAGGATAAGTTATGAAAGACGAAAATATTTCGTCACCAATAAACAATCCATCATGCAGATAATGTCATTTCATCTTTCTATTAAATAGGCGACAAATATATTTTTGTCTCGGAAGAATAAGTTGTGGGAGACGAAAATATTTCGTCACTAATAAATTCTATTGATTGCGTGACGAATATATTTTTCGTCTCATAAGGTTATGTTGTGGAGGACAAAAATATTTCATCACCGATAATAAATTCTTTGTTCTGGTATTTAAGGATACAAAAATATTTTATCACTAATCATTTCTCTTTATTAAAATGCTGTGGTTTTGTGTTTCGAAGCATTGACACTGTGACCCTAAGAGATACACTCTAATGCTTATCACTCATTTTCATGTACACAGACCTTGAAGTCGTGACCCAAGAAGACACTTTCTACAAACCCTCAGTTCTCTCTCGCACTTGAGTCTACTCCTCTCTCACAAGTATTGAAGTCGTGACTTAAGAAGACACTCTGTAAACCATTTCTTCTATTTCGCGCTAAAGCCCCTCTATTCTATCACACACTTAAGCCCTTCGTGCATGCCAGCATTGAAG